AAAAAAAAAAAAAAAAAAAGCAAAAATTAGCTGGTTGTGGTGGTGTATGCCTGTAGTCCAGCTACTCAGGGGGTGAGTAGCTGGAGGTTGAGGTTGCAGTGAGCCATGACCGTACCACTGCACTCCAGCCTGGGTGACAGAGTGAGACGCTGTCTCAAAAAAAAGAACAACAACAAAAAACCTATGTTGTTTCACCCACAAAAATTAAAAATAAAAATGGAGGCCAGGCGTGGTAGCTCACACCTGTAATCCCAGAACTTTGGAAGGCCGAGGCAGGTGGATCACCTGAGGTCAGGAGTTTGAGACCAGCCTGGCCAACATGGTTAACCTCGTCGCTATTAAAAATACAAAAATTACTTGGGCATGGTGGCACGCACCTATAGTCCCAGCTACTCGGGAGGTTGAGGTGGGAGAATCACTTAAATGCAGGAGGTTGCAGTGAGCCGAGATCATGCCACTGCACTCCAGCCTGGACGACAGAGTGAGAATCTGTCTCAAAAAAATAAAAAGGAAAAAGAATATGTTGTTTAATTTCTATATTTGTGAATTTTCCAGTTTTCTGTTATTAATTCTAGCATCACTCCATTGTGGTTGGAGAAAATCTTTTGTATGATTTCAACTTTTTAAAATTTATGGAGACTTGTTTTGTGGCCTAACATATGGTCTATCCTGGAGGATATTTCATGTACCTGTGAGAAGCATCTGCATTCTGCAGTTGTTGGATGGAATGGTCTATATATGTCTGTTAGGTCTAGTTGTTTTGTAGTGTTCTAGTTCCTTACTAATTTTCTTCTTCTTTTTTTTTTTTTTTTAATAGAGACGGGATGTCACTCTGTCACCCAGGCTGGAGTACAGTGGCACAATCACAGCACACTACAACAGCCTTGACTTCCTGGGCTCAAGGAATCCTCTCACCCTAGCTCCATGGGTAGCTGGGACTACAGGCATGTGCCACCATGCCCAATTAATTTTTTAATTTTTTGTAGAAACAGGCTCTCACTATGTTACCCAGGCTGGTCTCAGATTCCTAGACTTAAGCGATATGCCTATTTGTCCTGTCTTGTCCTCCCAAAGTGCTGGGATTTCCTTACTAATTGCCTCTTTTTTTTTCTTTTGAGATGGAGTCTCACTCTGTCGCCCAGGCTGGAGTGCAGTGGCACGATCTCGGCTCACTGCAAGCTCCACCTCCCAGGTTCACGCCATTCTCCTGCCTCAGCCTCCTGAGTAGCTGGGACTACAGGAGCCTGCCACCACGTCTGGCTAATTTTTTGTATTTTTAGTAGAGACGGGGTTTCAGCATGTTAGCCAGGATGGTCTCGATCTCCTGACCTTCTGATCTGCCCATCTCGGCCTCCCAAAGTTCTGGGATTACAGGTGTGAGCCACTGCACCTGGCCTGCACAGGCTAGTCTTGAACTCCTGGCCTCAGCAATCCTCCTGCCTCAGCCTCAAGAGTTGCTGGGATTACAAACGTGAGCCACTGCACCCAACTCACTCTTCACTGTTCTTGCTTATTTTTCAATGAAAACTTCAGAAGTGATTTGATTTTAGAAAAACCATATTTTTATTGGGATTATGTTGAATTAATTATCTTAGGAAGGAGTGATATTTCTATGATGTTTAGTTGGCCTACGCAATTGTCCTTTTTTTTTTTTCTTTTTTTTTTTGAGACGGAGTCTCGCTCTGTCACCCAGGCTGGAGTGCAGTGGCATGATCTTGGCTCACAGCAACCTCCGCCTCCCGGGCTCAAGTAATTCTCCTGCCTTAGACTCCCAAGTAGCTGGGACTACAGGCACATACCACCATGCTCGGCTAATGTTTGTTTTTTCTGTTTGTTTTTTTTTTTGTTTTTTTGTTTTTTGTTTTTTGAGATGGAGTCTCACTCTGTTGCCAGGCCGGAGTGTAGTGGCATGATCTTGGCTCACTGCAACGTCTGCCTCCCAGGTTCAAGCGATTCTCCTGCCTCAGCCTCCTAGGTAGCTGGGACTACAGGTGCACATCACCATGCCCATCTAATTTTGGTATTTTTAGCACAGACAGGGTTTCACCATGTTGGCCAGGATGGTCTCTATCTCTTGACCTTGTGATCCGCCCACCTAGCCCTGCCAAAGTGTTGGGATTACAGGCGTGAGCCGCTGCACCCGGCCATATTTTTTTTTTTTCAGTAGCGACAGGGTTTCGCCATGTTGGCCAGGCTTGTCTCAAACTCCTAACCTCAGGTGATCCACCTGCCACGGCCTCCCAAAGTGCTGGAATAACAGACACGACCCACCACGCCCAGCCACTAATTATACATTTTTAAGGGTACTTCTGTGTCTTTGTGGATTGCCTAACTAGCTTTTTAATTTACTACTTTCTTATATTCTAGGAAGCATGGGCATGGGGGCAGATAGAAGGGTAAAAAATAAGAGTATCCATACCTGCAGATGCCTGTGCCTGGGCATCAGTGTGGCGCTGGCAGACTCTACTCAAGAATTCACTCACTTGACGTAGGGAAAGGGCATTATGCAGTGTTTCCAGAGGGTAGATGGTAGGCACCATGGAACACCCTTCAAATCCTGTTTGAAAAGAGATGGGCAAAGTCAATGTTATTCCTGCCAGATATACCCCAACTGGCCAAGGAAGCATGGAGAGTCCCTGAGAACCATCAGGAGAGTCCGTGGCTTTTGGAGTGTGGGGTATCCAAGACTCTTAGGAGAGGGAACTCTTTAGAGCCCCTAGGGGAGTCTCTTTTTCTCACTTTCAGATTTCCTAAAACATCTACCTGCTAAGGCCTCCAGGTAAATCAAATCACCTCTCATGCTACCTATGGAGAGCTTTCAATGTCCCATGGAAAAATAAACAGAATCCCAGTAGGGTAAGCACCAACATTGTCCTCACATTTTCTGGGGGAATAAAACAAGGATCCAGAGGTAAGGGGTGAAACTGCAGATCTAACATGAGATAGGGAGGTCAGGGAACTGGGAAGAAACAGCAGATTTCGGGTATCATGAATAAGAGAACCAGATTAAGGAGAAGGACATGGAATCTGAGAAGGGGTTCATGCAAATTTAGGATGTTGGTAGAAAGGCTAGAATACTTGGATGCAAACTGGAGGGCATGCAATACACATGAAGCTCAGCCCAGGAAAACCACATGCATGAACAGGATGGGGATGGAAGTTCTTTCTTGATCGTTTCCATCATATCAAAGCTTCACCCTTCTGATCTACTGGAAAACCCCAGACTTGCTAGGATCTTTGTACTTCATCAGAAAAATGAGGCAAATGCCCTAGAAAAAAGAAAAAGCACTGATTTTCTGCTCGAAACTCAAGAATTCCAATGTAGGTCTATCAGTATGGGTAGGGCCAAGGGTAAACATAAATATGTAACCCTAATACTAGGCACTGGTGATGGAAAAAATGTCCCCAATGGAGGATCAAGAAAAACACATCCCAACCACTTTCTCAGTCCCCAATCTTTCCTATGCCTCCTCAACATCTCCCTAAAGGGACTAAGGATATGCGGGACAACAATGTCTATGCAAGACAGCTTCCCATTCACCAGTGACTAAAGCCCGTAACTCAAAAGGGTTATAACCTGACCATCTTCTAAGCTCTGTCCTTTGTTTGCCCCAAGGATACAATTGAGGCTTCTGTGCCTCAATTTCCCCCATGATCTTGTGGCAGGAGGGCAGGAAAGTTACTGCCTCTAGCTCCTCAGAGTGGCCAGAAAAACATTTGGATTTGAAGATGGTGGCAGTAGAGTGTTAGAGTGGTAAGAACAGATTCCAAGGCAAGAGATTACTCCTCTATTGAGCAGAACTGGGGGATGAGTAACATTAGGAGGTGGTGAGAAAGGAGAATAGGAAGGAATGAGCAGCCAATGCTACAGCTACCAGGCAGTCCGGCCCCAATCCCATCCAAGCCACTAAATGGAAGTTACATAACCTCAGGGCAAACAGGAGAAAGAAACAGGTGGGCTCTCCTGCCAGAAGTGCAATAAGCAAAGCAGTCAGTCCCAGCCAGGGTAGTGGCAGCAGCCAGCTTGGTGGCAGGGGGTACCGTAGAGGCACTCAGGATCATCCTGGCCTGAGCGCAGCCAGTTCCGGAAGAGGCGCAGGTGGTAGGAGCACTGGTGCAGGTGATGCGCCAGCGTGGCATCCAAGGAGACTGGCCGGCCCCCTGTACAGTCAGAGGAAAAACTGCGCAGCAACCGGACCACAGGGTGCTGGTCATCCAGCAGCTCTGGAGGGGGTGAGGGGACCACGGCAGGAAGCACAAAGATAGAGAAAGAGAAGAGGGAGAGACAATGAGGGGGGCACTGACTAGCACAAGCATTACTGGGAGGTGGGGACACTCAGATCCAAGGTGAGCTAAGAGAGAAGCAGAGATGGTCAGAGCCACTGGGCATCTCTTGCAGGGAAGAAGAGTGGTGTCATCACACAACGAGTCTGAAAGAAGGGATAAGTGAGACCTCATCATACAGCAATGTCCTCCCCTTCCTCCTTGAGCATAATTGAGTCGGTGCTTGTAGACAGCAGTCACATCGTTGTGAACAGGGGTGACCTGGCAGTTTTGTGGCTGGGAGTCTTGACTACAGCGTAAGGATCCCTCATCATTGGATGAACCCTACTTAGGGCCTGCATTCTCAGGTGAATGGATTTATGAAGTAGGGATAAAAATGAAAAGTTCAAAGTCACTCAGAGTGTCAAGGATAGCATTGAGTATCAAGATAGTCAAGCTAAAAAGGCTGTTTTTTAGGGCAGGTATTCTGGACCACACTCTAAGATAGCCAAAGACAGGGATGGTATTAGGCAGCTGGCACAGGAGACTGACAGGAAACCAGATGTAGAACTCCTTTAAAATGATTTGTGTGGAAAATGGAATCAATATGTGAAAATACCAATATTGACTAACCATCCTTGACCTTACTGTTGTTTAAACAATCACTTAAAAAAAAAAAAGTGTACACATAAAACTCAGGACTTAGAGATATTGTATCCATTACGAAGCTGAAAGTTAGATAAAATTTTACATTTTCTTCCCACTGCTGGTGAGTCTAACTGCACGTTTTTCAGCTGGTGAGTAGAAAAGCTTTGATTCTGAACCCCTCATTTTAGCTACTTGGCAAACTTTGTGGATGCATGTAATTGAGCTACAAAAGGTTGAAAGCAGTCAAAGGCATGTGGAGAGGGGTGTAAGAGGAACAACAGGGAAAGATCTTAGAGAAAAGGTATGGGATCTTAAGACATGATGTGAGGATGGACAAGAACTTGAGTACAGGATGTTGGTATAGAGAAGGTAGAATCAAGGCAGCTGAGGATGACTGCTCAAAACTCCCAGACCAGAACTGGCTCCACAAGGTGATCCCATGAGACTGTGGTCTTCAGAGACCTTAGCTTGGATGTCAGGACAGATTTCAGCTCTACCTAGGCTAGTCTTGTGAGCACTAACTGTATGTACCAACGGTCACATAGTTACATGGGTCCCTAGAAGATAGTGGGCTTGACAAATCCAGTGGTCACACACTGACATTCGGGGTAAGCGTGAGCCACAGTCTTTCCCATTTTATTAATTTACTTTGGTGAGTTCAGTGTGCAGTTTAGTAACAGGCTATACTTGTGTGCTGGATATAGTTACAGGATATAACAGCAGCTTATCAGGGACAGAGGCAGGGATAGGCTGAGGCCTGCTCTCCCATCAAAGTGTGAAGACACACTGCCTTGCCTCTTTTCCAAAGCCAGGTCCAGTATGTCTAGCTGCTGTTTCAAAGCCAGATATCATGGCAAGGAGATGGTGATGACAGAGCTGCTGTGACTTATCTGCAACTACAGACAAAACATCCACTTTGTAATTGCTGGTCAGTCAAGCAAGATCTTGGCCATGGAGGAGAGCCTTCATATTTTTTGAGGGTCAAATTGAATCTACATAATCTTCCGCAGCAAGTGACATACAGTTCCAAATTTCTGCTGTTGTCAACAGGTAGAACCCAGATTCTGGCTTCTTAAGCATATTAGCCTCCAAGCTCCAGCACAAGAAAAACAAAGGAGGCCACAAGACCCCTGAGGAAGTGTGCAGGGTATTGGAGATCTTCAATTTGTTTTCCTGCACAATACCTGCATTATCCAGCTCTTTTTTCCTCACCTTTTGGCAGAATTAAATCTTCTTCAATGGGTGAGGCTGCTAAACAGGGCTTTGGGGAGCTGGAGGTACATAGGTCTGAGGGTCTGTTTTATGGACTTGGGTCTTTTCTTATGGCACCTAAGAACTAGGAGATATGTGATTTAGCTCTGATTTGAGTAGCCCACGTTCCTCATACTATACTGTGGACCCTAAGTCCAAGTCCCAGGCTGTGCTATTGATGCATCAGGTTCTATTCTGGAGATGGCTGTGGCACATGAAGGACAGAAGAGCTTGAAGCTCAATGAGCGGGCACACCCATGAGGCTCTGAATGGGAACTCCTGCCACAGGCACAACTGGGAGCCTGGGGGCAGGGATAAACTGAGCCAGCATAGGCTAGTCAACCTAGGGAGAGATTTCAGCAGTGCCTTGTGAAGATGTACAACCTGACTGGGCTAAAATCTAGCAGCTGTCACTTGCTAGGCAATAGGAGATTAGCACATAGAGGTTTTCTAGTCTCATTTTACTTCCCTCAGAGAGTCTTAGCTCTTGAATAGAAGAAAACCATACCTAAAAAACTAGATTTACCTTGAAGACAAAATATAATACAGAGAGAAAAATAAGGATACCAAGGATAAAACTTTGAAAGAGAGTGAGCCTCGGTTCTCCTGCTATACCCTACAAAGACACCATACCCCTCAATTTATGGTTTACAGAGATCTCCAAGCCCTCCTACCGCAGTGTGGGCAGACCCGGTTCTTCAATGTTCTTAAAATATTATTCATTCCTAAGCTCCCCCAGAATCCCCAGCAGACATCTCAACTCTTCAAACTTCTCTGCGATAGCTTTACCATAGGTAGGCTGGTGCCACATGGAAACTACACTTAAAAACTCAAGGTACGGTCCTTTTTCTTTTACCTACTACCTCCTACTCCTTTCTTTTTATTTTTTATCCCAAAGCAACCTGGGCTCTTGTTTTCTAGGCCCAGGGACTAGGTTAGTAGTAACATAAAGCAAATGTCAGGAGCACAAGAGCCACACAAAATACACATAATGGCAGGAGAAAGAAATATGGAGATGGGAAACTATATACTCAAGACTAACATCCATATAAGTAGGCTTAGGAGCTGGGAACTGCAGTGTTGCTCGAAAAGAGGAACAAACTAGTCATCCACATTCACCCCAACAAAAGAGTTGGAGAAAAAACAGAAAGATCAAAGTTATATAAGCTGAGGAATTGGGGGTATGGGGGAAGAGAAGAAATGGAATCAATCTAGGAAACACTATTCCCATTCTAAGAAGGGGAACCATCATATCTGTACACAGCCTGGCAGTCATGTGATAGGAAAGGGAGAGGTTTAATCAGTGTTTTGGTGGTGATGCTGACAGAAGTGACATAATGGTGATGACGGTGATTATGGAAGTAAGACCCTGAGTTGCCACAGGGATGGGGCAGCCAGGCTGCAACCAAGACTAAGGCTGTCACAAGGAAACCATCCCAGGAGGGACACTTAGTGAGTGGCTCATTCAGAGACAGCAGGGTGTCAACACAGTGGAAGGAGAGGCAAAGTCAGTGTCAAAACTCAGAGTCAAGTGTCTAGAGGTGACATGGTGAGGAGGAATGACATTGAGTCAGAAGCAAACGTACCGTTAGTCGGATGCTTTGCAAACGACACAGAAAATCGTTTTACGGCCGGGACAAACAAGAGCTCTGGGGAGAAAAGACATCATGGGGATTATACCCACCCTCGTCCCCACCCTCTGTTCTGGAGTTTGCCCACAAGATAGTCTGTTCTTTAAAGTTAGTTATCTGTCCTGCTCCCCTCCCCTTCCCTGGGATTTCTAACTAACACACGTCAATCTCTTTTCCTTTGGTAAATCTCTTAGGAATCTATGTGTCATCTCTACTACAATACACCCCTACAAACAACCCTAATTTTACCACTGTGTCCTCTTTCTGGTCATTTGGAAATAAAATCTTCACAGAAATTTTCATCCCTTCCCCCAGTCTCTTTCCATATTATCTTTTCTGCCTTAGCTGAGCAACATTCCCTTCCCTAAACCCAATTTGCTGGATTTTATTTGAGGTTTCACTACATTCTTCCCAACCATGCATCATCCTCCTTGGTCCTTACCCCTACAGGCCAGAATCCAGGAAAGAGTACAAACTGATGCAGCAGGACTGTTATGTGGGAGATTATGAAGGGATAAGCATAAATAAGTAGTATTTTTATGGCAAGAGGGAATGCAAATGGAGGGGTGGAAGGGGTCCTGGTGCCTTCTCCTATCTATTACTGATGAAGAAAACTTGTTACAAGGCCAGTGTCATCTTAAGTATGAATAGGTCTTGAGCTATGTCCTTGCTGAGAGACAAGTGAAAAGAGGAGTTATCCCCCAAAACCCACCCACATACCATCTCGGTGCTTCAGACTGGCAGGTGGTAGCTTTTTGCCATGGCTGCGGGCGTAGTCCTGAAGATTCGGGGCGCTGGAGGAGCCACCCAGCACTGTGGTGCTGAACAGCCCTGTGCACTGTGAGCCTGCAAGGCCGGGAGTGTGTTAGTAGCCACGTAAAGCCACAACTATCACACAGAACTATACACAACTTCACATGATAACATCAAGACACACACACAGCCATTCAGAGCCACCACCATGTGGCCATTCCACATAACCACAAATGGCTTTACACTTCTGCATAGTCACAGTGGGCAAGCAAAAGGGGGATTCTTCTGAAGAGCTACATGGCAGAGACAAGAGGCCACTACAAATGCAGGGTTAGTCATATTAGGGGATTCAACACACTGAAAGGGATAGACTGTGCTCTCCAGGTGGCTCTCAGAAATGCTCAAATTATAGGTAGGTCCCTCTAGATTTCCCCTAGATTTCACTGGGCACCCCTTACCCTGGATATATAGCTTAAGAAACTCAGAAATCTAGTCCTTGTAGGTTTGAAAGGAAAAGCCTTTGACTGAAGCTAGAGACTGATTCTGAACACTCAGCTGGCACCCTTCCGATCCTTCCTAAGCTTTTCATCCAACATCCCCTCCCTTCAGGCCTTTTTACCTTTCCCAAGAATGAAAGTATGAGGCTCACAATTTTTTTTTAAGACAGGATCTAATTCTGTTGCCCAGGCTGGAGTGCAGTGGCACAATCATAGCTCACTGCAGCCTTGGTCTCCCAGGCTCAAGTGATCCTCCCATCTCAGCCTCCCAAGTAGATGGGATTGCAAGCATACACCATCATGCCTGGACAATTTTTTTTTGTTTTCAGTAGGAACGAGGTCTCACTATGTTGCCCAGTTGGTCTCCCGAGCTCAAGTGACCCTCCCACCTTGGCCTCCCATAATGCTGGGATTGTAGGTGTGAGCCACAGCCCCCCGCCTCATTGAATGTTTTAAGCTAGAAGGGACTCAGAGATCATCCAGTTCAACTTTCTTATTTTAGAGATGAGGAAACCGAGATCCAAAAGGGACCTCCTTTGCTCAAGGTCACATAGTTTTTTAGAAGTTAAGCTGGACTAGAATCCAGGTCTCCTGACTCTGAGGACCAACTGTATTGTTAGAAAATAAATAACTATTTTTCAGGTACCAGCACAGTTTCTGAAGTCAAGATGGACACAAATTGAAGGGCATGTGAAGAATCAATTGATTGTATGTAAAGCATGCCTATTATGTGATGAGCACCCTACTAAGAAGGAATACAGGAAATAACAACAAAAAGATATGTTTTTTCTGCTCTCAAAAGTGTATTATCTCATAAGCCTATGCTCAAAGCCAGTTGCCCACACATATAAATTCAAAGAAAGCAAAGAGAACTCCATTGCCAATGAGAGGATTAAATAATATTTGAATAATCTCTGAAGTATGGAATAAATCAGACCAGTCACTGTCCCCAACATTTGATCTAGAGGAGGGTTAGGACTCCATGGTCCCTTCTCCTACTACAGCCTATAAGGACAGAGTGGTCAAGAAGAAACAAGACTGACACCCAAGTTCTCAGGATTTGCCTCCCTATTTCCAAATCCATCTTAGCCAAGACCCTGGATTTGGCTTGTGACTTAACATTCATAGGGTTTCCCTGTGGATGGAGTGGAAAGGAGTTCAATTCCCTTGAGGCCACCAAGAAGGGACCATGGTTTCAGGGGTCCCAGGATTTCGGGGTCACCAGAGCAATCAGGAAGTTCAGATGGCTGATGATTCCAACCCAGGAATTCAGGACCTCTCCTCTATACAGCAACTTCCTCCACCTTTCATGTTCAAACAGGCTCTGGAATGAGATTCCAGAGAGTAATAACAGTTGCTAAATATGACTGCTTTTCTTCAGCAAAGCTAAAACTAGCTGGCTGTATCCCAGACCACCCCAAGCTTTGTCCTACATACACTTCCTCCACTGAATACTTTTCTGGTGCAGTCATGCCAACTCTGTTCTGCCCAGTCCTCAGATCATCTCAGAGGGTGGTCTCTACCTTACCACCACCATCTGCCAACCAGTTCCATGTCCATACTTCTGCCTTGTTCTTTAAAGCATTCACGTGGCCCACTTAACTGGGCTAGACACACCTATCCTCTTTTATAGTCTGTCTGAAACCTATTCTTTACTGGGACTTCTGGGAAGAGAGGCCCATGTCATAGATCTACACTATTGTTGTTTCGGTTTTTGTTTTGTTTTGTTTTTCTTTTTCTTTTTGTATTTTTGAGATGGCGTGTCACTCTGTCACCCAGGCTGGAGTATAGTGGGCACAATCACAGCTCACTGCAACCTCCATCTTCTGGATTCAAGCAATTCTTGTGTCTCAACCTCCCAGTAGCTGGGATTACAGGCATGCGTCACCAGGCTCAGCTAATTTTTGTATTTTAAGTAGAGATGGGGTTTCACTATGTTGGCCAGGCTAGTCTCGGAACTCCTGACCTCAAGTAATCTGCTTTCCTCGGCCTCCCAAAGTGCTGGAATTATAGGCACGAGCCACTGCGCCTGGCCAGATCTACATACTTGTCATTTATTTCTCACGCCCCAAACCATCTTTCTCATTTCAGGAATCTAGAAGGCAACTTATTCTCATAAAATTAGCCTGGAAAGTTACCAAAACCTTTCTCCCTCTTGCTAGTCCAAAAGCTGACCATTTTGGGGCCAAGAAAATGGGTGCCAAGGACAAAAGCAACAGAAAAATTAGAGGTGCTAAATAGGATGATAGGACAAGATAGAAAGAGCAAGGGGACCAAGTCCAGACCCCACACAATCACGTCTGACCTCCAGTTCTAGTTACTGGCTCACAAGGCACTGTACTCAAAGGTAGTTACTCCCAAGGACCGCCCCCCACCCAAAGAATACAATACCCTCTGAGGCTTGGTCCTTCCTGCCGTCTGTGCTCTCACAAAAAGTTGAATGATGTTCTCTACCCCTTTCCAGGTATCCAAAAATCAAGAGACATTTCCTCAAAGACCTGAGAGATGCCTCTGCCACTACACCAGTCTCAGACTTGTCAATTTTCCAGAAGGAAGGGGAAAAAGTTACAGGATTAGGAGATGATGGAGGAAAGGGCAAGGTGGTAGGAAGGGCAAGAGTGGGGATGTAAAAAACACAGGTTTCAGGGGAAGACATGGCACAATTCTTCAAATGAGGAATACGACATTTATGAGGGTTGCAAGTACCTCTATTTATAGCTCTGTCTCTGATAACTCTGAAGGCTCAGAGTCTCCATGGCCCCTTAAGGTCTGGGCTAGACTGGAGGGACAGATAAGGAATGAGAGGGAAAGCCAGAAAAATGCCCTTTGGCCAGGGAAATGTGATTGGTATAGAAAACCAAGAGATAAACACCTTTCTGGGATGGAATAATCATCTGAGATCCAAGTTCACATCTAACTGTGGCTTCTCCCACTTCATCCTCCCTACCCCTACCTGATGATATTCCACTGACTGGATGGTTCCAAACCCCATGACAAAGGTTTCCCACAATACAACTCTGAAGAACAGACAGACAGCTTTTCCAACAATAGGTGAGAAATGCTGGCGAAGCCATACCTAAGCCACTCTGCTTCATTTCTGTGGGTGGCCGTGAAGATGAAAAGAGCCGGTAGCCACCAGGCCTTGAGGATGAAGTCTCAGAAAGTACCTGCAGAAAAAGGACTCTATAATTAATCATTTTGCCACCTCAATCCAAAAGCATAAAACCCAGGTCCTGAATTCCTGTCCCTACAAAGCCAAGCAATGTTAGAAAGTTTGGAAGAACCAAAGGATTTATAGGAGAAGAGGGATGAAAAGGGAACAGAAAATGCACTTTATGGAGGGAACTGTCTGGGGCATCTTTCTATACTAGAAGCCACTTTTATTTTCAACATCCCTTTCCCCAGAGCCCTCCCATTCCCAATCTGAGTTTGAGAAATCATTATTCAACCCATTCCTAGTTCTCAGCAGAGCGGTTTCCTAATCGTATCCATCCCCCTACAAGACTCAGAAAGCCAATCACAATGGCTCAGCCACAAATAAGAAAGTCTGGCCACCCTCTCTTCTTTCCATGGGACAGCTGTGGCTACTGCAACCATACTACATTTCTTGTTCGAACCAAGCAGCCCTCCCCTCCAACTATCTCACCCCTAGAAACATGAAACAGAATTCTTACAATGCCCACAAGGGCCCAATCACACAACCCCCAATACACACACATCCCACCTAGATAGTGTCTGAGTCCCTAGATCCCAAAAGGCAAAGACAGAAGGTAAAACAGGAAGGTGAGGTAGGGAGGGACACCTGTGTGCAGGATGCCAGGTGAGTGGTGGACACAGCCCGGGGCTGTAGGCCGATGGCTGGGGAAGGCCGGGGGAGGTCTCCCGACCTCCTGCGGCGCCGTCCCCGCAAGGGGATGAGGTCCAGGTTCCCCGTGCACTGCATGTTCATGACCTGCAATCAGACCGGGTGGAAAGCCGGTCACGGCTCCTTTAAACCCCAGGATCCCAAAAGCCCCAGTGCCCACAGGGCAGAGCCAGTTACAGGGCTAGAGAGGATGACCAGCTAGGGCATAGCTGCTATGAAGGTCATAAGTTTTATAATCTAAAATAGTTAAAAAGTATGAGATGACAAGAGGAGAAGAAGGGATGGAGGGAAGGACAAGTTGTATGCCTATATTTATAGAGCAAGGAAGATAAATATTAATATTAGTATTATAAGGCTCTGTGACCAAGGAGCAGAGAGATGATTTCCTTGCAAAGCTGAGGAAAATATCCTGGACAACCATCACCCTGGATAAGCCAGGGTCTAAGCAGCACTAGTAATTGAAAAGAAGGAATGTGATTACAATAGGAAGCTTCCTGTAGGCCTGAAAGAAAGAAGTCAATCTTATCAAGTCTGAGAGATGATACACAGAGAGCTTTCCTTTGCCTGTGTCTTTTTTTTTTTAAATTTTTTAATTAAAATTTTTTTTTTTGTAGAGACAGGATCTTGCCCTGTTGCCCAGGCTGGTTTTGAACTCCTGGCCTCAAATGATTCTCCCACTTAGGCCTCCCAAAGTGTTTGGATTACAGGTGTGATTCACCACACCCAGCTGCCTATGTCTTATGACTGCATAAACCAGAAGAAAATGGTGGTGGGGGGCGGGGGGCGTGGTTCAAGCACAACAGCACCAGGAGAGGCTAGCAGACCATGTGAATAGGAAAGACATTTGGAGGAGCAGTTTATTGATGGAAGATTATGTGTCATTCTATCCATGTGATCTACTGCATGTGAGTATAAAGGGTAATAGAGTACTACGGATACCAACTTAAACTCAAAGAGAAAATAATGTATATCCTACCTAAAGAAACTCTGCATATTACCAATGTCAATTTCACCTTAAAATAATCAGGAAGTAAAGGATGAATCAAAAGAAGAGACTGCAGTTCGTCTTCTCAGCTTTCTCCAAAATCTGAATTGCAAACCTTTTGCTGAACCTAGGTCAGCTCATTATGGATTCTTCTGATAGATCCCTAAAATGGAAAAACCAATTCCTCTAAGATAGAGACCTGGCACTGAGCCAGGTGAACAGAGTCATCAGGACAGAGCAGAATCTAAATCAGACAGTCAAAGTCTCTGGGACAGGGATAAATTGTGGTGTCAAAATGAATGTAAGTGATACAGAAGGAGCTAGATAGGAAAAAAAAAGGCAGGGGGGATATAATTGGGCCAAAGACAGAAACAGTTTTTCCAGGAAAAAGACCAAAACAAAAAGCTCAGATGGTTAGCTGGGCATAATGTGAGATTAATAACACTTACTTCCTTTAGGCTAAAGAACTAGAACCAGAACTAAGACAAACTTCAAGAATAGCAGAATACAGGCCCATGCTGATAAAGATCTTCATCAGAACAAGAGGAAGACAGACAAAGCTCTTGGCTGACCCACTTTCTGGAACGACAGTACAGAAAAAGTGCCAGGTATTTGTTCCTATCTGAGCTATAATTTTTACCCAAGGTGACCAAGAGCTGGAGAGGGCCGGACCTTAAATATCAATTGTATTGTTACTATATTACTGTCTGTTGAGCATCTATAAGGTGGATACTACTCACATTTTAGAGGTAAAAAAAAATTGAGGCTTAGAGAAGTTAAGGCCAGAGAAGTGTAGAGAAGTTACCCAGCGAGTCACACAGCTTCCAAGTATCAGACTGGGATTTTAGCCCAGAGTTCAAGATGTTTCTACTAGATTTCCTTTTAAAGAACACCTTTTCAAATTCATCCAGAGCCCTCCTCCTTAATCCTTTCTCTTTAAACCCTTATCTCTCAGGCACCCCTCAGTGGCAATTCTTTAATCTGAGAAGTAGCAACCAGGTTAAAGAAGCTCTATTGAGAGACCAGCTTGAAAGAGAGATTAAGTAAAACATCAATCAGAGCGGAAGGACTCTGCTTCAAGTCCCAAGAGTACCCCCAAGGGGACCTAGAGGATCTGTGGATATAGTCCTATGAGTACTGCCACCCCTTCATTTTTTTCCCAAGGACCTCTCATTACCTCCATGGAACCAGCTTTTCGGTTACGAATGAGGGGTGATCTCCTTGGGAGGCCAGGGCCCTCAGGAGGCTGGGGTGAAGTCTGCAATGCCCGGTCTGGCTCATCTGATGCCTTTCGTGGACACAGGTTCTCCATACTGCCTTGGTTGGTTTTCATTTCCTCATTCTATACAAAACAAGACAGGTAAGAGAGGTGTTAATGGCCTCCAAGCTCCTAATCCCAGACTACCCAACCCTTTTACTTCTCCCTGTACCGTTTCCCACCACTTGGTTCCTTCAGTCCCAAATCCCAGCACTCCGACCCACCTCAGAAGAGGCTGGACGGAATCCACAGCCAGTTGGGGCACTGCCTTCTTCCTCACCACCTTTCACTCCAGGGCTGAAGTGTAGCTCCACATGGAACCGTTCCTCTGATAAGGGATCCTATGGGGCATCACCACAAGAGGGAGAAGTTGGGAGAAGCTGGATATTGTGGTGGAAGTGGAGAGGAACTCAAGAGGATTCATCCTCCTAGGAATTCAGGGTCTTGTCCCACTCCGGGACTGACCTGTTATAGCTTCCTTTCAACTATATATTGTCTCTTACAGGATCCTCATTCCCTCATCTCTACCATTTGTGATTTCGCCATTGCACGTGACTTTTGAATTTCCAGCTTTACAACCCTTCCCATCACCTTCCACAATAACTCAGTGTGGCTATGGTGCATATAGCACATTTAAAGGTATCTTCTGGGCCGGGAGCAGTGGCTCACACCTGTAATCCTAGCACTTGGGAGACTGGAGCAGGCAGATTACTTGAGTCCATGAGTTCAAGACCAGCCTGGGCGACATGTTGAGACCCTATCTCCACAAAAAATACAAAAAATTAGCCAGGCATGGTGGCACATGTCTGTCATCCCAGCTACTCGGGAGGTTGATGTGAGAGGATCACTTGAGCCCAGGAGGCAGAGGTTGCAAGGCTGCAGTGAGCTCAGATTGCAGCCCCGTACTCCAGCCTGGGTGACAGAGTGAGACCTTGTCTCAAAAAAAAAAAAAAAGTATCATTGTGGAGCCATATGCAGAAGGTATATGTATAACCATGTTTAAGGAAATAAGACTTATAACATTGTCCCAAATTCCATACTCTTCCTAATGCCAGAGCTGTGTTCTAGGTGATCTCTCTGGCTCAGCAACATCCCAGAACATATTTTCTGTTCCAGTAAGAACCTCCTGGATGCTCTGTGTCATGCTGTGCCTAAGTGCCACACCTAGCTGGATTCTCCAAATTATAAGGATAAGTGAGTTTTTTTTTTAATAGAAGTCAAAAGAAGGGGCCTTCCTCTCATCCCCCACCTGCTGGCTCCTCACCTGTGTGTTGTCCTCATAAAGCATGATGACAATCTGGGTCATGTAGTTAAGCTCTGAGATGGCACTAAGATAATCCAAAGCTCGCTGCCATTGTGCATCCTGGGTCTCCTACCAAATGCAAAAAGAGGTAAGCCATTGCTAAAGGAAAAGGGAGTCAAGGAATAAGCAGGGAGCTAATGAGAAGGGAGAAAGCTTTCATTTAAAAAGCATGAGGAGAAGAGTGAAAGAATGCTGGGAAAAATCTATTCACAGGCTAAAGAAGAAGGAGGATCCTTACATCAAGAAGTCCTCCATAACGGAAGACACTGAGTAGGGAGTGGACGTGGCTCTCACTGGTGAAATAGAGACGCGTTCGAACGTGGCGACCTGGGGAGAGCACGCCTCGGGAGTACCTGAGATAACAGCTAAATCACTCACACAGTCAGTTAATCCTCCTTCCACCCTTCTGCAAACTCTCTTCTCCCACCTCAAAGACTTCTCTCCTTTCCATCCCAAAATCTTGTCTATTCTTGCTTCCCCAGGCTGTCCCAGCCTTGATTCCCACAAGACTGCCTGACATGCCCCTCCCTCCATCCAACACCCCTCCCAGCCCTCCCTCACAGGGGATGCAGCTTGTTGACAGACTCATCCTCGTGGGTTCTCTGCAGGTCAAGCAGTATCTTCCGCAACAGTGGAAGACAGAAGCCCACAGCAATTTCCAGTTTCTCCTCCCGGCTGATCCCGTACTCCTAGGGGCCACAGGCCAGGAATAAATACCTCAATAAATCTTGTTTTCTCATGCCTCATATTCCCAGGACCAAGATCATGCCTGTCTTCACCTCACGTCTAGCGCTTCTTTCATATCCACTACACTCCCCCTCTTCCGGGTGTCTCCTGAATTAGCCTCCTGTACTTACCAAGAGCCAGACTGGACCCTGAGAAATGTAGAAACTCAACTTATTCCTTCTCTAAGTGGCTTTCCTCTAGTCCCAAATCATCCTTCCTTTCCACCTTTTCTCTCTTTCCTTCCCAACACCCTCATCCCCAGGCTAGGTCCCTTATACAAGACACACCTGGGGAATGACCACATCAGCCATTGCCTTAGAGAGACGGAGCAACTCGGCTGTGCCTTGAAGTCCCAGACTCCCATTGTGCTGCACATCATACTTGACACAGTCATAGATGTCAGGGATCTTACTGATATCATAGCGCCCACTCTTCTGTCGAAAGTCACGCTCCAGCTTGCTCCAACGCTGTAGCATTAGCTCTAGTGTCTCACTGTGGTAGAGCTGCAGGTCTGGAAGAAAGGCAGAAATCAGATAAGAATCAAAGATTTTACCTCCAACCAAAGACCCTGATGACTCTGAAGTAGAACCAGAGGGAGGAGGCGGCCTGGTCTCTGACATTTAGCAGATGACACAAGAATGCCTGAGAAACCCATCCATACCTGAGACCTTGAAGGGAAGATAGTAGTATTCATACCCACCTACAGACCTGGGGTCCTGCATTCGTTCCCGGATCTGGTGGGTGAGGTTTTCGATCAGGGCAAATACCTGATCACAGACCTTCACAGGATTCTGGATGATAGTCATGGAGTTGAGCAGGGAAATACTTCTGGTGGGAGCCAGCTATGAAGAATTGAGAGAAGAAAAGCAAGATAAGCTCAGCACTAATTGCCCAGATTCCTGTGAGCTTATTACACAGAGACTACCCACAATACAGATCTGTATGCTGGTTCACTCCAGTGAGCATTCTTAGGTTACTGGGCATAGTAGCAGCTCTAGGCCTTCAGGTAAGGGCACTGCTCTAGCATATAGTCATCTAAGAGGGATTGATTTTAAGAGTCTTAGAGTCCAGAGAAAATAAAACAGACCTAAGTTATTTTCTTGAAGGCTCTAGAATACACATGGAAAATACTGGAGAATAAGGATTAAACCAAAATCCCTCAAAATCTCCACAGAATGTTTTCATGAGTAGAGATCAGAGATAACATCATCTTCTTCCTCTAAACAAGATGCTAGCCTGAGCCTAGAGTAGAAATGCTGCCTCAGAACTGGGTTCCGACTCAGGCTTTTAGGACAGTAACAGTCAATGAGAAATGGGGAGGGAGAATCAAGATTGTGGCTGAAAACGCAAATTCTATTTAGGTCTTCACAAGTTTCATTCTTGCTTGCAAAAGAAGGCAAGGCAGAAAAGGAAAGCTGCCTTAGCTTTTTTGAGTTTGACAGTGAGCAATGGATTGGGAAATAAAGGAAAGGTCCTGTTCCTTATCAAGTCCTACTCAGAGAACACAGAAAATGCCATGGAATCATAGCAATGTGCTTACTTAGCTCATTTAAGAACCAATTAGAAATGTTACACAACAATGTAAATACATGTCATGCTACTGAACTGTACACTTAAAAATGGTTAAAGTAGCACCACAATTTTAAATTTTTAAACTTTTTTTAAAAGAACCTATCAGAAACGAGGAGTGGGAAGAGTAGAAAACCACTGCCTGGTAAATTGTGGCCTAGATATGCAGGAAAAAGAATGACCATATTAGGTAATGGCATATACTAGAATTAATACTATAAAGCAATGTAACAGCCTGGATTTTGGAGTTAGACTCCTTGGGTTTGTATTAGTTGGATGACATGAGGGAAATTGCTTAGATTCTTCTGATCCTAGGTTTCCTCATCTGTAAAATGGGAAGAAAGTCCTTGTGATCTGCAGTCCTTGTAGTGCTTTAAAGATCACCATCAATTCTTTATCTTCCTTCCCTTCCCTTATATCTGGCTGGCCCGGTGACTGCTTAACCAATAAAAAATAACAAAGTTATGTTGTGCTAATTCTGAGCCTACACTTTAAGAAAGTTTCTAAGCTTCTGCTTTTGAATATCCCTACTGCTACCATTTAATACATCCAGCTATCATGCTACAGAAACCATATGAAGAACCA